GTTGTTCCTGCCATTAAGTCAGAAAATGTTCCAGAAGGAAGATGGTCCTCACTTAACACAAAGTTTAAACATAAGCCCACAGGCCAATCTGCATGGAAGGAAGGATAATAACTCCCCAACAAGAGCCAAGGAACACATCCTATTAAGTTATAATTTAAAAAAAAAAAACACTAAAGTTAAGTCTTGAAAATTCCAATCTAAATCAGATGTTATTCCCAAAGTGATGGGCAACATTCCTCTAACAATAACCAGAAAACCCCAAGTTTGTGTAGACAGCAATTTCATTTACAAACATCAGTATTGCTAACACCTGCCCCAGACCATCAGATGACACACCATTTTCTATGGGATAATTCAAAATCTTGAGCATGGCCCACAAAGACTTTCACAGTCTTGTCCCAAGACTTTTACAGCATCCTCTCTTGCTATCAATCTTTCATCAGAATTCTCATCAGTCTCTCACCTTGCTATACCTTTCATTTCTCTGGACCTTTGTGCACCAGTTCTCACTGCCCAGAGAGCTTTTCTCCCCATTCTCCTCCAAGCAAGCCTCCACTGATTCTCTAAGGTCCAATTTACCTGGAACCCATCAGCAACACTTTCTCTGATTCTCCAAGTCAGACATGAGCTCCGCCTAATCTGTGACCCCAAAGAACCTTACGGATACATATTTTTTTTAAAAAGCATCTATCACAATATATTTTAATTACTTATTTACATAGTCCCTTCCCAAAGATGAAGTGGCCCCCAAGACACTAAGGGTAGTAGAAGTGAAATGGGAGATGGGTATCAAAATCAGAGGTGGCCTGGAACAGTGCACCTAGAAGCAAATTCAATTTCATATTTGGTGAAGGGCAAAAAGTACATATTGTTTACAGTTTGAAATACCAAGTTCAGAAGATTCAGCTTACCAAACTCTTGGGTAAAAAGGACATCTGAAAGGTTCTCATATGGGGAGCTGAGGCTATATCTGTGTGTCTATTTTAGGAACTTGAGGTAAAAAAAGGCCAAAGATCACATGTTATGCATTGCTCATTCCTGAAATATGTTAGATACTAAGATACTTACTATTGAATAAAAACTTTAAATGTTAGGCTAAAAAAATTTTAGATGCCATATTGATGAAACAAGTTATTTCTTCCCAAAATGTATAAGAGGCTCTGAACAACTCTATTTGGGTATAAAGATTGCTATTCAAGTTTTCTCAAGAGCTGAAATAAGATCCCTACATTAAGTAGAAAATTGTAGAACGCAAATATTTTTAAAGTGCCTTTATAAAGAATAAATTAATATAGTATGGCTCATCTTCCATAATCTACTGCTCCCCACTCCAAGCAATACAGTTATGACTTTGAACTCCTACATTTCTTCTGATCATCCAAAACCAAAAGCTGCTTATAAATAGCATATTTCATTACATTTTAGCCTTGTTGGGGCATGTGTTTTTGGGCAAAAGAAGCCACAAAAAAAAAGTGATCTGGGTCACTTTGTCTTTGTCTTACAATATTAAGATTTCAGTGGTAAATATTTACTATATATTAAACTCAGATGGTGCTATCTGAGAATGCTAAAATACTTTCTTAGATTCTTGGGTTTATAAAGAACAACTAACTTACTCATAACTCATGTTCTCCTAGCTGGTGCTTTTAACCTGGGGCTTCCCAGGTGGCACTAGTGGTAAAGAGCCCACCTGCCAATGCAGCAGACATAAGAGGCGTGGGTTCGATTCCTGGGTTGGGAAGATCCCCTGGAGGAGGACATGGCAATCCACTCCTGTATTCTTGCCTAAAAAGTCCCATGGACAGAGGAGCCTGGCAGGCTACAGTCCATAAGACTGCAAAGAGTCAGACATGACTGAAGCGACTGAACACACACACATACACAGACCATCTAGCAACTAGCTAAATAATATAATGGTGACTCTCAAATAAAAGTAAAATGTTTTAATATAAAGAGACAGTCAATAGTGAGAGGAAATAATGCATTTGACTTTATATACCATGGTACTTTTGTTAATAAGATTTTTTAGTTTAGTACAACTACATCTCTGTCAAGGTTAGCTGGTAACAAGAGTTCAAAAAAACTTTGAAAAAAAATTTTTTTAATAAACTCAGGGATTCAATCCTTCATAAAACAAGTATTACTAACTGTCTACTATGTACAGACACATTCTTCAATACACTTTGGGTATATCTGTGAACAAAACAGGTTAAGAATTCCCAGGCTTCATGAAGCTTATATTCTAGTGGGGAGGAACAGACAATGCCCCTAACAATGAATCTAATAAGTTATATTGAATAAAGGATGTCTAACAACCTTTCATTGTAAAAGTGTCTAAATTTTGTAAAATACTAATGACCTAGTTCTTTATGGACACAACGCGTGTCCACTGCGTCACTGAATCCACAGTGTAAGAATAAAAGGTGCACCTCTTACGACTAATACAAATTGTCTGGTAATATGAACCATGTTTCTGCCAATAACTGGATTGCATATTTTCTCTTTGAATTAGTATCTAATGAAGCCTGTGCTCCCACTCAGAGCCCTCAGGATCCTGCTTTTCCAACCAAATGGAATGGATCTCCCTGTCTCTGAAAGTCATGCACACCTCTGTCAACACTACACTAAGTCACGGGGATGCAGATACTGCTTAAGACACAACCTTTACCAGTGAAGAGTTAACTGTTCACTATGAGAAAGACAAGGAAGATCAAGGCTTATGCATATATAGCTTAACAGTGCAAAGCATGCTGGGTGCATCCAGAAGATGGGATGATTACCTCTGCCTGGAAAAGGTGACTCTGAGAAACGCTCAAGCTGAGCCTGGAAGGATGGGTAAAAATGTATGAAGGCAGAAAGGTCTGGTCGTTCATGTGGGCCAGGAAGCAAATGAACTTGAGAGAGAGAGAAAAAGTGATCCTAAGAAGCGAAATCCTAGAACAGTGGGGGCTATGTCTGCACAAATGCCATCACTAGGAACTATATCCCTCACAGGAAGAAATGGAAAAGCAAAAGTAAAGGTGGCAGCTGAGCAGACTTAAGAGTACTGAGAACATGACTGGACTTTAAAACACAAATTAACTGAAGGAAAAGCATCTGAAGAAAAGCAAGAAGACCAAACAGCAAAAGAAGATGATGCTAATAATGTAACCCAGACCCAAGTCCCACTGATGTTCTCTTGGAAGACCTCTCCACCGGACATGTCACCATGTTATCCAGGGTTAACAGCAGGTTCTTCCACTCACATGCTAGTCTCAACCCAGCAATGTTTCCAAATCAAGCACAGGTAAAGTGCCATTTTGTTTGCCCTGTTAAGCAAAAGCTGAATAAGATAATGAGCCTTCTGGCCTCATGTTAAATACCCATGAAATGCATGTCCCAGAATCCACAGAAGACTATTTTTAACTACAGCCACTATGCTCTGGGGCACTAGATTAGCAACAGTAAGAAGACACTACTTCAGAGTATCATTCTATGTGTTATATATAGAGTACTGCAGCGAGATCATCCATCTCCCCAGCTCATCTGGGGAACTCTTTAAGGACAAGGACTAGTTAATAGTAAGCACTCAATTAAGGACTGACAAACAAATGAATGAACTAACCCACCAAAATTTTCCCCATAGTTCCTAGATAGTACAACAGACAGAAAACACACCAATTGCTACTATTTTTCATTCTAAATGATAACAGCAAAAGGCTATTCAACTAGTTTGTTAAATAAAAAAGTAAATAATAATTTATATCAGAGTCTAATACTCAGGGCAGGTAGTCCTTGGGCCTGGGCTAGAGGTGTGCTTGTGAACAGGAGTCTTGCAAAGCAGCCGGGTTTGTACCTCCATCTTAAGGTCTTTCCAGCAGTTGTCCTCTAGTGCTCAAATTAGAGATATCATGCCTGATGAAGGAGCCAGTGGACTTCACTGATTAAAAACAATAATAAGATTTGTGTAGAGAAATGCAGAAGTAGCATTCCTGACTGACAGTTATCGAGCTAAGACATTGAAAGTTAGCCCTCACCACCCCTATGGTGTGAGGGTGTGTGTGTGTCTGGGGGTCAAGGGGGTCTGTTCTTAGTGAGGAAGAAAAGAAAATGCAGAGACTAGTACACCAGAGAACTACCCCTTCTGGAATTCATAGTGGGTCTGGCCTCTCATTCCTAGGCTCAAGCCCGAGACGGGGACCGGGTTTTGTCAGGGGCGCCTCCCTGCTGCCCTGCCCTCTGCTGCTGCACATGAGCAGAGACAGGAGGCGGGCCCCTCCGACACCTACTTAACCGAGGCAGATGCGGAGGCGAGTGCGTGGGATGCCTTTCCCTCCCCCTCAGGAGGCGCCCAGCAGGAGCCCACAGAGCCAGCAGCTCTGAAATCAGATTTCCACACATCCTCCAACCCCAGAATATGCCTTACCCCTCTGGCAGGAGGAAACAGAGCATTAAGTAAGTGTGCTTCTGGTGTGTGAAGGGAGTTTTGGAAGACCTAAAGAAGCCTTCTCACAGGATTCTGCACTTTTTTCAAAACCTCTACAGAGGGAGCCAAGTTGGGAAACAGTTACTCACTCATTGACCCGAAAGGGGCAGGGGTGTTACTTTGAGAAGGACACAATCAGTGTCTGCAAGACGTCCTGAACTGCAGACACATACTTTATTAATAATCTTACATACACAAAATGTCCAAGGGAAAGCCTAACAGGCTAATTTCTGACAGCTCCAGATAACAGAAGGAGGAACTAAAGCCATGCTGATTCTCCAGCTTCTGCACACTCCACAGAAGCAATGATCCCTTTTTCCACCCAAGGGATGTGATACAAATAAATAAATACAATTATCTGTAGAACTTAAAGTGAAAGGACAACATTGTAAAGTTCTTCTCCCCAAGTGCAGTGACTTATGGGAAGCAGATAGGAAAATAAAAAGAACAGCTGGAAAATTTAATTACAGAAGAGCAACCCAAAAGCTGACACTGTTTCACAGAACTAGCCAATAACCAAAGCCATTTTCCTTACCTTAAGAAACAGAAGCAACTCTTCGCTCCTGAAGATAAGCGGCAGAACCCGAATCTCTGTTTGCTGTCAATGTCAGTGAGCACGAATGTGAAGTTCTGGCCAACTTGGCTGACTGTGAGGCTGCGGCAAAGAGAACAAAGGGGAAAATGAATGTGCAGTAAGTTTCCTGATAAAGTATCTAATCACAACAAGTCATTGAACCTGTAACATTTCCTTTCTCAGTGGAATTCTTTATAAATGAACTTAACATTTACACACTTCAAGGGAAAAAACTGAGTATTTTTTTAAAAAAGAAAAAGACAGCAAGCAGTGACCACCTCATCATAGCTACCAACCTCCTACTTACTGCACTCAGGCAGGTGTCCCTGTTGAGCACTGCATCCTGTTTTGAAAGGTGCGTCTATTAACCTCATTTTACAGATGGAGAAATAGCCTAGAGTGCCAGTGCGTAAGATGTCAGCTGGTAAATTGCAAAAAGCTGAATTTTAAACTTAGGACTATCTGACACCAAAGTCATCCCTGCCAGTTTGCTGGTAATGATGCTCACCTGATTATTCCTCTAGTTCAGAAAATAACAGGGACTGCAACAGCAGAATTTAAATGCCAGCCATAAAGTTAGACTCTTGATCTTATAGGATCTCATTTACTCTCACAACAACCCTGGAACTTCAAGGATGTTCCCATTTTACAGAAAAGTAAACTATAGAACTTAATAAGTAAATAACTGAATCAAGTTCACAGAGCCACTAAGGGGAGGAGCTAGAATTCAAAAGAGGGCAGGGTTAGCTATTACTTTCCTAAATTCCTGTACCTTTCATAATTTCCAAATTTATGAGGACCATATTTTATATTTTACAGGACAGAAATAGCAAATGTCTTATCAATGCAAGATATTTTCTAAGAAATGGACAAGGTTTTAAAGAAAAACATTAAAGATAAAAACTAAAAATGCCTGCATCAACACAAAAATCAGCAGACCACACAAAAAACTGAAAACATTTCAAAAAATTAAGCAGCATATTAAAGTCAGATTAATCTAGAAACTCTTTTAAAGTTACAAAATGTTTAAAAATCCACTTTTAAAAATCAGTTTACCAGTTAGCCTTTGGATTCCTCTTTAAAACGTCAAATCTTATACTTTCCTGGTGGCACAGTAGATAGGAATCTGCCTGCCAATGCAGGGGACACAGGTTCAATCCTCGATCTAGGAAGATTCACATGCCATGGAGCAACTGAGTCCCTGATCTACAGTTACCAGGCCTGAGCTCTACAATGAGCAAAACCACCCCAATGAGAAGCCTACGCCCCACAGTGAAGAGTACAGCCCCCACTGGCCATAACTAGAGAAAGCCCACACAAAGCAACGGAGACCCAGCACAGCCAAATACAAATAAATAAAATTTTTAAATAGTTAAATATTACAAATTCTAGTATACAAATTTATGCAAACAAAATATTTTATAATTCGACACTGACTTATTCAAAGGAACTCATTAACTTGTATCTTATATATATATTTTACAAAATATACTCAAATTGATAAAATATTCAAATTAATGCTCTCACCTATAATTTGCTATAAATTGTCAGTAGAAATGAAAAATCGTGGTTCACCAGGACTTTTCCAAAGGCAGACTGATCGAGTTTTTGACAGAAAATGAATTAAGTCTTCAAATATGGATAGCATTCTTTTCTAAAACTCCCTTATACAAGCCACATAAGAAAAGTAAAGTATTTTAATTTTAAAAGACTATCAAAGTATTCCAGGACAAAAGGTCAATGGACTCTACCTGGTCATATTTAAGGAAATAATTCCTGCCCTCAAAAAGTGGTTAGAGAGTACAAGAAAATAATTCAGAAAGCAAAGAGAGTTCCAATTCTTTTTTAACTAGGAAGGTGAACAAAAACAAGGTAGGAATTTAGAAGCAACATGGTAATAAAACAGGTGTAAGTAAGTAATGCTATCCCTCCACCTTATATAAGCCAGAAGAAGGAACACATTCCTATAAAACTTATAGAGCTGTCAAGGGGATACCAAAACGCTACCTTCTTATGGCTGTTATGCTTTATCTATAAAGCTTGGATACAGTGTTACTATGGTGACTTAATACTATGTTTTAAAGGGGGATTATATGATTAATTTTAACAAGGTTGAGAACTGAAGATGTGTGAGAAACAGAATTCTAGCTCACATAATTAAAGTGATTGGGGGAAAAAAGTGGGCCTCATCAGGGGAGGGGGAAACCCTGTATTATTAAACTACTTAAAGCAACAGGTCAGGATGATTCTAAGTTACAAATAAGATCATGCTTTTATGAAGTATTATTATGTATTCATATAAAAGATGACTCTTTTTTATTTTAACTAAGGTTTGATTTCACTTCTAGAATTTTTAAAAAGAAGAATCCTAGAAGGAAAGGGTACTGATACAACTAAATGAAAAGAAAATACCCAGGATTTCTAGGAAAAGGACACAGAAGGAACACAACTTGGTTTGTGATCTGAGTATCCTTAATTTCTCTATTATCTGTTCACTACCTTTAAAAAGGCTGAAAACTCTTTTCAGCTACATTGTAGGCTCAAAGAAAGGTTCATTACTCATTTGCTTGGTTCAAATCCCAACTCAACCACTTGCTAACTGAGCCTTAATTTAGCAAGTTACTTAACCTCCTAAGTAGCTCAGTTTCTTCTCCTGGAAACTATCACCCAACTCAAAGCATATTTGGGGAATAAGTGAGTGTTTGATATAAAGGTTAGACCACAGTAAGAACAATTAATAGAAGAGACACAAGTTGCTACCTCCAATGAAAACTAAATTTCATGATGAAATCATTCACTTGCTTAGAATCTTCTTGACTCAGCTTTGGAATATTTGAAAGTGGAGATAGGAAGGCTGCCTTTCTTTCCTATTGCATCTTTTCAGCAAGGGGGAGTCTTCTGGGTGACCAAGAAAGTTGCTCATTCTTGTATTAAAGTGAAAAAGATTCTTTTGGGGGTGCCACAACTTAGAAGGGGGGCACTTACTATTCTCAGTTGATTCACTTTTTAAATTCCCAGCAGGATGAAGTACAAGTCATTAAGAGCCCCAGATCATTAAATCCTAAAATATTTTTTCCTTGGACAGTCAAATTAACATTCAAATTGAGTTCAGATTAACTCAAAGGAGTCTTAATCGTCAAGGAATTTATCATTCCCTCTCTACTTGCTGAGGTAGTCTGTAACAGTGTTCACTATTCCTCCATAAAAATGACTGTGGGGAAAGGATTGGCTTCTTAAAGACTGCAGTTTTTGTGATTACCTCCAGGATCAGAACCCATATACTTTTTAAATAAAAATCAGATTTCATGACGATTAAAGGCAGTGGGAACCTTAGAAACCAACTCATCCAATACTCTTGTTTCATAGATAGGGAAATTGAGGCTCAGGATGTTTTATTGTGGTGGTGATGGTGGTTTTGGTTTGCTTTTTTTCTTTTTATTTTCAAAATAACCAAGAAACAAAATAAAAACCCATGCACAATTCTGGTTGAAAATCCTTTCCATTCTGCCACACTGCATCAAATACAAGGAAAACTCTCCCAAGAAGTTACTACTTAGTTTAAGGAACTCAGGTATGTGAGGAATTCAGATAGTTGTCTCATCAAACAGACTAACTATACTTCCCACTAAGCAAGAGAAACCAAATTTGACTACTTCCAGAATTAAGCCCAAGAGACCAGGGCCAGTGTCACCCTTAGCTGTGCTTTCCATGTTTAGTTGAATACAGAAAATAGAAGAGAAAACAATAACCATCTCAACCACAGACTTTAAATTTCATGCTGCCTCTTAAATGCATGTCAGCCATTCAAGACCCCTCCTGCAGCATTTTGCCTAATCTTCAAATTATTTATAGGTTCAATGTATGAATGGTATGAAGCATGTGGATGGATAGTTTGATTCCAATCTTCCAGTAAGAAATCAGATTTCCTATAGCAGCCTCACTTTTAAGTTTGAGGTGAGATGGTGGGATGGCACCACTGACTCAATGAACGTAAGTCTGAACAAACTCCAGGAAATAGTGAAGGACAGGGAAGCCTGGCGTGCTACAGTTCATGGGGTCACAAAAGAATCAGCCACAACTTAGTGACTGAACAACAACAACACTTTTAAGTTTAGCTACGTATCTTACAAACCAAGCAAATACACTGTGCACTGTAACAAGTACTGAACATACAACATCCATCCCACTGTGGAGCCTCCTGTCTCGATGGAGAAGCATAAACAAACACAAAGCATACAGCTTGTGATAGTGTTATATGAAGCCAAAGAAAGAACAAAGAAGAAAATGGAAGAAAAGGAAAAAGCCCTATTGAGATAATATGGTCAGAGATAGCTTCTCAAAAATGATGACAATACTGACCTAAAGGATGGGATGGAGTCCTTCACTCCAGAAGCAGGGGACTCAGTATTTCAGGCAGAGAAAGAGCTTCACAGAGAAGCTGTTTCTTTGGTTAGAAACAGCTGGGCATGCTCACCGTATAAAAAGGACTTCAGTACACCAAAGGCACAGGGGAGCAGGAGAAAGTGATTTAAGAAGGTGCTAGATAAAGCAAGCACCAGATCACACAGAGCAATCCATAGATCATGGTAAAGAATTAAGATTGACTGTTTGATTAGTAAGTGCAATGGAAAGGTATTGAATGATTTTAATCAGGAGAATAACAGTCTGGTCTACAGTTCTATAATTTTTATCTGACTCTTAGATGGAAAAGTTTGGAAGAAGGCAGAAGCAGAAAAAGAGAAGTCAGGAGGCTAGAGCAAGTCCAGGTGAGACTAGATGGTGGCTTAACTCCTGTAGGGAGAGTGAAAATGGATCCAGTGGATAGATCCAACTTAGAGTCCACAGATGAACTGAGGTAGAGTAAAAAGGCAGTATACTACCATTTAATGGTAGGAAAGACTAACATGCTTGGGAAGAGCTCCAAGAGTTTTATTTGTGATATTAAGTCTAACAAACCTGTAAGCAGAAATGTTGAGTACATAGCTGAAGACACTACATAGGAAATCTAGGGAAAGATTTGGGGTAGAGCTATTAATTAGAAAGTCATCTACACAAAGATGGTATTTCACACGACAGTAAAG